ATGGGTTACTTAGAGGAGCAAAAATGACTCAAAGACAGCTGCCTCATACAAGCTCACCCCAGCATGGATGACAGTTCCTTGAAGTTTGGAACCTGAAGCACAATGCACTCCTGCAGGCAGCTCATCAAGATGGAGATTGTTATTTTTCCTGTCACTCAGTTGGTCAGAGCCTCTTCCAGGTAGCTTGGCTCATTTCTGCTTCTTTTAAGCTGATTGGCTGCTCTCTACTTCCTTGCAGCTTGGCTTGTCTGAGATTCTTTGTTTTTTCTAAGAATGATTCCTAGAAGTCTTTACTCTTTACCCTAAGAGAGGGAAGGGCCTAATGAGTCTGGTCAGTTTCAGGGACTTCCTGAAGCTATTTTGAATTGATTACTTTCTGTCCTAAGCTTCCTCGTGGAATAAATGTCTCAGCTCTTGTAGGAAAATGTTACAAAACAGGAGAAGGGTAAAATTGCTTCAAGAATCACACCTTTGCTTATGTAATTGGCACAGATGTACACACTCAGTGCCAAACTATAGAATGAGTAGCCAGCTCCCCAAGTAGTAAAGAAAAGTATGTAATATCCAGAAGTAATATGCCTCAATTATGTTCACAGATTTGAAGGTGATATGGCTGAAACGATGTGTAGATTCTAAGATTTCTATGCTCTAGTACATCCAGGTAACAACAAAAAGTAATTTTATCTTTTTCTAAAAAGAAATAAGATTGAGTCACTCAACCAGTAAGAGATGTACAAGAAGTCCAGCTCATTAACCCATCATTGTCCAGCTCTCAGCTAGACTTTATGTTAAACCCGCCTACACAGACTTGCTCAAATACACTCTATTGCATTTACTTCAGGTTAGAATGGATTTCCATTCGTGGGTCCCACATAGTTTTTAGCTTAGTAGTAGAGTGGTCCTACTTGCACTTGCACGTGGTCCTACTATTTTCAGATATATCCCGAAGTAGACAAAGTAGTAATTTGAGGAACACATTATAGAGTCAAACTACATTTATCCCTGGTGCCCAAAAAAGGATCTTTCCATCTCAGAATGTAAATAAGTTTAGTTCAACTTTTAAAATCCTTGTAGACTTAGTGCTTGCATTAATTTTCAAAAGTCCAAGTCCAGATCTTCAGAGGCTGGAGACAACTTCCTTATTTAGGAATCCCAGTAAAATCCAAAACAAAGTTACATACTTGCAATATACAATGTCAGCAAATAAATGTGCCCATTCCAAAAGAGAGACACAGAAGAACAGCCAATAAAGATTAGAATAACGAAGATCCTTCTCAGTTCGATAAGCAGTGAACATATATCTTCCTGTTCATAAGTCCTTCTGTCCAGAGTCTGAGACATGTGGTACTGTGAAGTGAATGTCTGTGGGCTGGCAGACCTGCTTGCTGGATGTTGTGTCTGTTGTCCAAGTGGACTCACTCTTGAACTGCTCTATGGGTGTATGAAGCTTTCTTCAGTAGACATCTTCCATCTCCATGTGTAGTGGTATGAATAAGAATGGCCCCCCATAGGTTCATATATTTCAATGCTTAGTCTGCAATTGGTAAAGTTATTTGGGGAAACATTGGAGGTGGGTTCTTCTTGGTGGGGCTGTGTCAGTGGGGATGGGTTTTGATGTTTCAAAAAGCCCATGCTATTTTTCATTCTGTCTCTCTGTCTATATCTGTGTCTCTGTTTCTGTCTCTCTCTGTCTCTTTATCTCTCTCTCTCTCTCTCTCTCTCTCTCTCTCTCTCTCTCTTTCCCTGCCTTATGCTTGTCATCTCAACATGTAATGTCTTAATCATTTTGCCAGCATCATGCCATGCTCCTCACCATGAAGGCCATGGACTAACTCTATGAGACTGTAAGGAGTCTCCACTTAAACACTATCATTCCTAAGTTGTCATAGTGTCTCTTCACAGCAATAGAACAGTGACTAAGACACCAACACTCTGAAACTCCACCATAGCTTATACTTGTAATTACCCTTGTAATTTCATTCATTGTCCTCACAAGGGATCTGTGCAGGGAAACTAATCTGGGTATACATTGCCTATCCTCACATGCTTTTATTTGTAATTTTACTGGAAGCCACCATTATACCACAACTTTCAGATCATGCATATTGAAAAAACCGGCACTCCATACATGATACCAAGTTTTGCTGCCACTGCCATCAAGAGCCAAGTCTAATTGCATGCTGGTTATACCCATTCTGAAGACTTGGGTGCATTAACCTGGTAAAACACAACAGTGCTTATCCTTGTGTGAGCCAGGTGCCCTGAAGTTTCTCTTACAACGGATGACTCTTTGAAATGAGTCTAGTTTTACCTCTTTGAGTCTTTGATGAAAGAAAGCAATTCTTCTTGAGATGCCATCAAGGCACCTGCCTTAATTTGCATTTCTAGTGTTGTGAAGAGATGCCTTGACCACAGAAACTATTTTTTTATTTAATTTTATTTAAATTAGAAACAAGCCTGCTTCACATGTCAATCCCAGCTCCCTATCCCTTTTCTCCTCCTCCACCCCCACCAATCCCCCCATCCCATTTTCCCTGGGCTATCCAGGGAGTGTGAGGCCCTCCATGGGGATTGCCAAAGTCTGTCATACCATCCAAGGCAGGGCCTAGGCACTCCCCCTCTTTCCAGGCTGAGAGAGCATCTCTCCATGTGGAGTGGGCTCCTAAAGTCCATTCATACACCAGGGATAAATACTGGTCTACTACCAGAGGTCCCATAGATTGTCAAGGCCTCCTCACTGACATCCCCGTTCAGGGAGGTCTGGGTTAGTCTCATGCTGGCCTCCCAACCATTAGTCTGTGGTCCATGAATTCCCCCTTGTTCAGGTCAGTTGTTTCTGTGGGTTTCACCAGCTCGGTCTTGACCCCTTTGCTCATCAGTCCTCCCTCTTTGCAGTTGGATTCCAGGAGTTCAGTTCAGTGGTTAGCTGTTGGTGTCTGCCTCTGCTTACATCAGGCACTGGATGAAGGCTCTAGGGTGGCATATAAGGTAGTCATCAATCTCATTATTGAGGAAGGGCATTTAAAGAAGCATCTCCACTATTGCTTAGATTGCCAGTTGGTGTCAGCCTTGTAGATATCTGGAATTCTCCCTAGTGCCAGATCTCTCTTCAATTCTATAATGGTTCTCTCTATTATGATACCTCTAATCCTTCTGTCCTCTATTCTTTCCCCTACACATCCTTCCTGTTCCCCCATTTCCTCTTTTCCCCTCCTCTTCTCCCACTCTCTTTCACCCAGAGCCCTCTCCCTTCCCCCCATGTTTCCAATGGGCTCAGGAGATCCTGTCCCCTTCCTCTTCTTAGGGTTACCATGCATGTCTCTCTTAGGGTACTCCCTGTTTCCCAGCCTCTCTAGAGGTGTGGATTGTAGGCTGGTAATCCCCTGATCCACATCTAAAATCCAAAAAATGAGTTAGTACAAACCATGATTGTCTTTTTGTGACTGGGTTACCTCACTCAGGATGGTTTCTTCCAGTGCCAACCATTTGCCTATGAATTTCAAGGTTCCATTGCTTTTATCCATGGAGTAGTACTCAATTGTGTAAATGTACCACATTTTCTTTACCCATTCTTCAGTTGAGGAGCATCTAGGTTGCTTCCAGGTTCTGGCTATTACAAATAATGCTGCAATGAACATAGTTGAACAGATGCCCTTGCTGTAGGAATGTGCTTCTTTTGGGTATATGCCTAAGAGTGGAATTGCTAGATCTTGTGGCAGACTGATTCCCATTTTCCTGACAAATGCCATGCTGATTTCCAAAGTGGCTGTACAAGTTGGCACTCCCACCAGCAGTGGAGGAGTGTTCCCCTTTCTCTACATCCTATCCAGCATAAACTGTCCTTGGTGTTTTTTATTTTAGCCATTCTGACATGAGCAAGATGGTATCTCAGAATTTTTTTGATTTGCATTTCCCTGATGGCTAAGGATATTGAGCACTTTCTTATGTGTCTTTTTGCCATTTTAGACTCCTCTCTTGAGAATTCTCTATTTAGTTCTGTACTCCACTTTTTAATTGGATTAGTTGGTGTTTTGGAGACTAGTGTCTTGAGTTCTTTGTAAATTTTGGTGATCAGCCCTCTGTCAGATGTGGGGTTGG